AAAAACAAATTTCACGGCGTTCTGTTTAATTAAAACCCCCAAACCTTTATCCCTGCTGGGCCCAATCAAATTTTAAATAAGAAATAAAATATTCCAATAAACCTTTTTATTTTGAAAATTTTAATTTAAATCACCTGCGGGGTTTTAAAAATTTTTTCCCCCTTAAAAATTTTTTTTTAAAAACATCCCACTTGACGAATATAAAAACCCTAAACTTTGGACTTTGGGGTTAAATTTTTTTTTTTTAAAAATTTCGGGGATTTTTCGGGAAAAGAGACTCCAAAAAACTCCAAAACCCCCCCAAAACCCCCAAAACTGCCCCAAAAAACCCCTAGACCCCAAGACTACCAAAAAAAACCCCCAACTTTTCCAAACCCCAATACAACCCCCAAAACACCCCAAAACCCCCCCAAGACATTTTTTATTAAAAATACGGGGTTTACGGGGTAATTGCAATTTCCCCCATACATTGAATTTCCCTTATTTTTTTATGTAAGTTTTTAAAAAGATTTTTTTTTTTCAAAAAAGATTTAAAAAAATTTAAAAACGCCAAAAGGGTTTTCGGGGTTTTTGGGATAGTGCCCAAAATTTAATTTTCGGCATGATTTTATGAGTGAAATTTTTGATCTTGATTATTAAATCGAAACAAATTTTGTTATATATTTTTTTAATTTTTATCTGACCCAAATTTTTTGGTTAGTCTTTTTGTTTATAAAATTTATTTTAATTTAAAATAACTTAATCATACTATTTTTTAATATTTTATGAAAAAAAAAACCCAACCCTAATTTTTATATTATACATAAATTTAATTTCAAGAATAATTATATAATTATTATATAAAAAACTTTCCCAAAAAACCCCAAATTTTTTAATTTCTTTGTCCTGGAACCCAAAAATGCTTAATTTTTTCCCCCTTCCCCCAAATTTGTCTTGGGGTTTTTTTGGGGGAAACCCAAAATTTTCCCGCCCTTCCCGGCCCCAAAAACCGGGAGACCGGGGGTTCCCCCGAAAAACCCACCTTAAAATAACGCCGGGGTATTTTTTTGGCCCCCCAAACCCCCAAACCCATTTCAAAATTTAAATGGCCCAATATAATAAATAGGGATTTTTCAATTTTTTTTAAAAAATTTTATAATAATTCCTTTTTTAAATTAATTTTTAAATTTTTTAAATCATCCAAAAAAACAATATTTTCGTATATTATAAGCATTTTAATTGTTGTAAAACCGGCTTCATATCCCCGTTGCGCAAAAATTCATTGGCGCAAACGGAGATTTTTTTTTTAAAACTAGCAAAACAAAGTACTTTTAATTGAATTTGCATTAGTAATACTAAATAAAGTCAATATTGATTGATATTTTACAAAACCAATGTTTTAAGTATTTTTTTTAATTGTAAACATTCATTGTTCAAATTGTTTATACCTTTCATCAAACCCCGTTGGCGCCCATGGATTTTGCCAAAACGGAGATTTTTTTAAAAAGCTGTGTTACAGTTTTTTATGTTTTAAAACATAAAATAATCATTATAAGTGGTTATTTGTTGATATTTTATACATATTTTTTACATATACTGTATAAGTTTGATATTTTATTAAGGTAGAAATACTGATTATATCAGGATTCTAAATTGGAGCGGCGAAATGACATTTTTTGGCCCAAAGGAAAAAAAAATTTGCATAAAACCCAAAATTAAATTTTTTTTTTTTGTTTGAAAAATAAATTAAAATTTTAGAATAATAATAAAGTCTTTTAAAAAAAAATTAAATTTCCATTTTAGAAAAAGTTGAAAAAAAAATATTGAAAAAAAATTTTAAAAAAGGAAAAGGGCAAAATTTCGCCAAAGGGGTTATCATAACCCTTTTTTCAATTTTATTATTTTTTTAATTTTTTATCTTTCATTAATCATGGTACATTTTTAATAATTTTTGTTGCGTAACATTTTATATTTCTCAAAAGAATACAATAAAATACAAAAAAAAAACAATCCAAAATTTCAAAATTGATTGGCAAAAGTAATCCAATTTTCCGAGAAATTTTTAGAATTGGAAGTTTTGTGCACGTGTAGGGAAAAGGGGTTTAAAGTTTTTAAACTTGTTAATAAAAAATTGGGCCGTCATCAGTCGGATTCAAACCCCTAAAAGATTATTACGTTCACATTTCTGTAACATTTTTTTTTCAAGTTTGAGTGGAAAAATTTTACAAAAAAGCTTCAAAAGCAAAATTTTCGACAATTACAATTTAATAAAAAAAAATTTTTAAAACCCTTAAAAGAATACATGTTCCCTTTTTAAAACAATTTTAAATGGGGTGAAAAGCGTGTCCATAAACATCAAAAACCCTGTATTTGTAATTTAAAATCGGGCTTAATAACCCCTGATAAAAAATTTTCCAAAAACCCAAATTTCTTTGTTTCCTTTTTACATTTGCTGCCCTTTTATTTTTTAAAGGGGTTTTTTATTTTTGAAGGATTGTTAAAAATAACGTTCAATTTAATTATTTTATGTTTTTTTACTGTTTTAAAATGGAAATAGAAAGAACAGCAAATTCTACATGCATGTCGTATTACTATTTTAATAATTTTATCAAACAATTAATATTAATTAATATAAAGCTATTACAGGACTTTTCGTAAAAATAACAGAACAGAACAGAACAGAAACTTTATTTCTTGGTTTAAGCATAAAAAGCTCATCACCATATTAAATATACAAATACAACATATAATACATAAATGACACATGACATGAATATATATAATTACAAAATAATGGTTTATGTGATGTGAAATATTAATTTGAGATACCAAATTACTTAAAAAGCATATGAATACATGTATATAATGACACAAGAATTTGCCTATCTTTACAAACATTATCACTTTAAGCTACAATACATTTATACAAAAAAAAAGCAAACTGCGACAAATGAAGGGGGATAACTTAAGGTAACTTTACATAACCAGTATTTTAACATTTACTTCCCTTAATAATTCATGCTCAATATTAATAGAATGAAAAAATGAATTACATTTACTGATTTTGTACGTTTTTTATATATATAAAGAAAAGCAAAACCCACACAAAACAGACCAATACCCAAAACAACTAACGCTAGACTTAATTATGAGGATTAGTTTTGTCAAAACATCTTTTATATGGTATTTATATTTGGTTATGTGTGATGAAAAACAGATATAGTGTTAATTTGAGAAGATACAAATATTAATAAATAAATAAAAAAAAAAAAATATATATCATATGTATAAATATGTACAATTTCATATTCACATATAACTTTACAAATCTACATGATGGATATACAATGCGCATTTAACAGTTACAATGATACTTTTCCTTTTTTTTTAAACAACAGAAAAAAACAGAGAAAGAGAGTAAAGCTTACATGTCAGTATATTATAACAAACTATCCCTCAATTTAAAAGCTTTATCACAGAATATAGCTAAATTTTTCAGTTCTTTCTTGCGACCAGTTTGCATTAATGAAATGAATTTAAACATACTTGTGTTGCAATAATAGTATCTTGGAATGTATTGCTTTCTTAACTCAGAATATATCGGACATTTAAGGATAAAGTGAAATTCATCTTCTATATCATTCATATAACATAAAGTGCACTTTCGTTCATTCCTTGGTAAATTATTATGTCTTCCTAACTCGATATTAAGTTTGTGTGAGGAGAGTCTTATTTTTGCTAAAACATTTCTATATTTTACATTTTTCATATATTTTATATATAAACGATTGTTCAAATGTGATCTTATATTCCGATATTATACATCTAACAATGATGAAGATGAATACCATCATTCCAACAACTTATATAAAATATCCCGTAAATCTATTCCTAAAAATAGGTACAAATAGTTTTATATTAACAGAATCGGGATATAACCAGACTTCATTAAATCCTGCTGACTGAAGAATGTTTTTAACTTTTGAAGCCCAGTTTGTTGAACAATTTACCACATCAACATCATATATCTGTCTACACAATATTGTTCTCAATATACAATTATCTTTTTTACTTGTATTTAACTTAAGAAAATATTTTATCATACGAATATGCCTTTCAATGTAAATATAACGAATTGAACGGGAAAAAATGAAACAGATTGTAAAATCGATACTTGTCTTCCAGTGTCAGCCATAACAATAAAAACGTATTTAATTCCATCTTTAAATTAATAAAACAGACTTTTATTGCACCACTTCAGTTATTCAGTTAATATCTTTAATGATTTACTTCTTCATATTACTACTTAAGACAAACATTGTTTTCTTTTTAAATTCGTTGACCCCCCCCCCCCCCCCCAAAAAAAAAAAATAAAAAAAAATCTCCGTTGCGCAGACAAAATGTCCATTTCGCCGGCACACAATCCTTTACAACATCAACATTGCAGCTATTTGATATACAATTATGGTTTTTATATATTTTTTTTAATTTATTTATTCAAAATAACATTGGTGTTTATAAATTTCATATATTAGTACATATGTGTTTATAAATCTCATATATTAGTACATATGTTGTGCCGATTTTCCAAAATTATCTCCGTTGCGCCATGAAATTTCCATTTCGCCAGGCATATATAATCCTTCAGTGTAAATTTACATATACAATTAATGAAACATTTTGAAACATACTTACTTAATAGTGCTAAACAATCCTTTTAGATGCTCAAATATAGCATATTGACTTTAAAAAAGACGTTGTGTCGTTTTTTCTAAAAAAATATCTCCGTTGCGCCATGAAATTTCCATTTCGTCAGGCATATAACCCTTCAGTGCAATTAAACCTGTACAATTTATGAAACATTTTAAATTATACTTACTTAATAATGCTAAACAATCATTTTAGATGCTTAAATATAGATCTAGCACTTTGACTTTAAAAAAAAAAGGCGTTGTGCCGGTTTAAAAAAAAAAAAAATCTCCGTTGCACCAAAAAATCTCTGTTACGTATTTTAGTGGTACCCGAGAAGAGCCGTGGCCAATCATAATACTCGATACATATCCAAATAGGATAAAGGAATAAAATGGCGGCCACCTGCTTGCGACCAGCTTTGCTCCTAGCTAGGACTGTAAAAATTAGTGGTAATGATCTTTTTTGAAGAAAAGTCTTCAAGAAAAGTTATAAGTGTTGATTATTTAAGATAGTAGAAATATTGTAAAGGCAGCGGCGAACCGTACGGGCCCGTATTGAATCAGGGTCAGCTCGGTTGTAAAACGTTCTCCTCGGCCTTATAATTTCCAACTCAGCACGGGTCAACTCGCCATAATTATATATTAGTTAACTTACTTTTCTTACTTTATATGTTTTCATCATAACTTTCATTGTTTAATATTTTCACAGTAACAGACCTCTGCTCAAGGTTATTGAAAAGTAGCAGAGACATAGATATCTTTTAAAGAAATTCTCATTTTCTGTTCTTATATATATACTCAATCTACTGCAGTACTGCTTTCTACTTTATTTGTTTAAAATATGAAAACAAATATCAACAAAGGAAGCATTGCATTCAATGAACATATCCCCACTGCCCCTAATTAAAAACAACCAATCACCTGTTTCACATAAGATGTTTAAATTAGCCGATTCATGTTTGTTGTACACAAATCTAAATGGGTCAGTCTAAAAAAATGTATTCTTTAATAAAAAATTAACATATAGATGATATTGAATGAGTTTAGTTTAATACTAAATTCATTGAACAGGTTGCATAAAATCATATTATGCGCAGCAAGCCTCTGGCGAGCATTATATTGTTTTATTCAACGAGTTCAGTAAATTTAGTATTGAATCTACACGAATATAATATTCAATTTATCACATATCTAAAATAAGAACAGTAAACTATTAAAATGGATAATTTTTCAATGACGCGCCTATAGTGACTAGTGTAACCAGAGACATAGATAACTAAGTTATCTATGTCTCTGGTGTAACGCTCACATAAGCGAGCTTTAACGCTATGTTTCTATAAATGACGTCACGTCAGAGTGTTATTACACTGGTGTAATATTGTTTTTATCAAATGGTTTATTACACTCCTGCGACGCGGTTTATGTGATAAAACTTGTTCTTAAATCCACAAACATTTATGATTATACTTGAGCATTGTCCGTATATTTACACTAACCAAAAGTCCAATAGCTGTAGATGATAATATAGATTATGCATAAATGACATTGACATACATGCATTATGCAAATCTTTTTGGAATTAAATATACTGATGAAGTACTACACAATTATTTCAGAAAAATATTGAAATTAATTTTATATGAAAACACATTCTGAATTCAAAGGCCTTCCGAGCTTACAATCTTTGGATTTTGTTGGCCAGAATTGGATTTTACCAGCATCAGGCCTGTACCTTCAGGGTTCCCGCTGTCGCTCGCCAATGGCGCCAAATGCGACAATATATTAATTCTGGCGCATAAAATCTTTAATTGGCGAATTTAACTGGCGCCAACGTAAGATAAAAGCATCCGACAACTTAAATGTCATAAGCGGCCGCGTTAATTACATAAGCGGCCCAAATGTGAAAGGTCACGCGCTATTAGTTTGTTTATCAAACTGTATAATCGGGTACCGTATAATCAATTATGTCATCAATTATGTGACACTTCGGGAACATGTGAAGATGAAAGTGTAAACGTGTTAAATGGAACAATTTACGTCTTTCATTCTCTGACATGTGTGGTCAACAGGTGTTAGTAGCCAACAGAGAAGTGAAAGATCATCCGTGATGTTGACAAACATTAAACTTTCGGTAAGTTGACTCGTCAACTGATTAAAAATAATTACATTTTGAATATTAAATCGGATGACAATTAAAAGAATAATTTCACCAATGATTGATCTAAAGTCACTGTACTGCAATGTTAATATTTTCATATCTGAATGTAAAGTAAAATAAACAATATTTTTCATTGTTAAAAATACTTAGTATCTATTTCATTTTTTGTTCTCCTTGATTTTTAGATGAAGTCAATTTATAGTAATGTTGTTTTTTTTTTATTTTGTATCTGTAGATCACCAGATTGTCGGGTAGAGGCTGGGAAAGATCTTGGCTCAGTCCAGCCTGTGAGAAGAACTTCTATACTGGCAAAATGGTGGAAAACAGGACCTCCCATGACTAACTTAACATGATGTTTTTGATTACATTTATGCCGTCATGTGTATTTATTTAAATGGAATTTGAAAACCACATAATAGTATGTCTATATTTTAGATAATAAACATGTGCAGCTGTAATAAAATGAAATATTATAAATATGTGTTTGTAATCATAATGATATATAACTGCTAGCATATCTTAGCAAAGATAGGCATGTCTCCCTTGCAGAATTATTGGCTCCAACTTTTTCTGATTGGCGAATTTGGTGGCGCAAACTAATTTTGACCCAGAGGGAACCCTGACCTTATTTCGCAGACTGAGAGATGGGAAGAATTTACGATTTATATGCACATATTTAATAATAATATATCGTGTAAAATATAGGGGTGTGGATCGTCGGATAAGTGACGATCCGATCCGAACCACGATTCAGCACTTACGATTCACAAATCGAACCACAAATCTTTTGTTATCAAGACACCCATAAAAACATGCACATAAGTTACAAAAACATGTTTATTTAAAAAAAAACAATACTAAACATTAAACATATAAAATATAAACTAGGTTTATGTTTTTATTCATTGGATGAGTATTTTTTTAAACCAATTACTTCCTAGCTTAGCATCATGGTACATAGTCTTTAACCGGCAAGTTGTATTTAGGTAAACTTCATATAATTTATACTCAAATCGTAATTTTCTCGATTTTATGAGTGTGAGAAACAGTGAATGTATATATAAAAAAATTAGATCGCGATCCACGATCTCTGGGCTTACGAATATTCAAACTCGATTTTTTTACTTTGATTCGTGATTATCCGAGTACTCGGATACTCGCCCCAGCCCTAGTAAAATATGTCTTTCAAACAGCATTGGTCGTGTTAAAGAACAAAAAGTGTTAAATATAATTACATTTATTGTCATAAAAAATTAATTTAAAGATCAATATGTAACATTTATTGTCTTGATACCTCTTCTTAACAAAAATAATTTCAAATAATATGTACATGTACTCTGCCAACTTTTTCCATTTCTGTAAGTGATTATACCTCTGAATACTTTTATAGTAAATTACTCCTTAATTTTTTATAAACTAAACAATCTAAACAATCTATATCCTGATAGGTTTTTAACACAGGATTTTCATTTTTATCTGAGGCAACAAATGCTCAAAAGAAAACAACCGATTTTGCCAATGATCAGGGGTGATACTTTAATATACAAACTGAAAATACAACCGATTTTAACAGATGGTTTGGATCGCCAATTGGTTAATAATGAAAACCCTGTAGAGGTTTGAGTTGACCTGTGCTGAGTTGGTGTAGGGGCCGAGTTGACCCTTTACCGCCCTTATTGCTAGCCAAAAGTTTTAGCCATACTAGTCCTTCATTCAAGCATCAAAAATGTATCACTCATAAAATGGCATAGTCGCAGAATTAAACTTGCACTAAATCAAAACCCCGCAACCTTGGCATGATTTTATTGTTGTAAACTAATTTGAACTAAAAAGAATATATTTATTATCTTGCATTAAAAAAAAATACAGGGAAAATAAATGAAGGGAGATAATTCAATGTGTAAATGTACATGTGAAATCACATAGTTACCTCCTGTAAACAATGTGAAGTTAAGTCCGTATCTACATGTTAGTAAGTGTCTTGGGGTGGTCTTGAGGTGTCTTGGGGAAGTCTTAAGAGTGTCTTGGGGTAGTCTAGGGGTGTCTTGGGGTAGTCTTATGGTGTCTTGGGGTAAATAGACCGACTGGTAGTACACGGCAATAGGGAGGCTGTTTACATGGGATTGTGTAAAGTTGTTTAAAAGTTGAATAAATAAGTTGTTTTTGAGAAAGAAAATACACATTTATGGTAGGATTACCAAGCATTATTTTGTAACATTTTACATGGGAAGTTAATTGATTTTCTCAATTTATTGGGAAGAGGGCGTTAGCCTCTTGATTTTGGTCGTTGAACAATATAGTAAGATGTGTCGTCCTTAAATCACAGCACATTTTTTCTGTTGCTTTCTTCCAATAACATTGATCGACGAGAGATATTTATGTTTGGGGTTTATGCATTTGAAGAAATTCGAAGAAAAAATATATACATAAAAAATTTTAACTTGCTAGTCTATTGAGACTATTGTACTTATCTAACTGGTATTTTGGACAATCGTACTTCAAGTCTTCCATAAAATAACATTTTATTAATAAAAGCGAAAGTGAACACACTTCCATCAAATAAAACATATTTGTAAGTAGATCTGTAAGTCTACAGTAACTTATAAAGTATGGTGCAAAAGAAAACAATGCTGGTAATTATCAGTTGAACGAAATAAAAATTCGGTGTTGTGCGGTGCTTCAATATTCATGTCGGTAGGACTTTTCCCACCACCACCAAAAATTTACAATAGAAACACACTCTTTTGTGTGGAACTTTAATTTATGTTTGGCTCGTCAGGTTATAGCCTAAACACATTGTCGTTATAGCTCAGGTTTTTATGCTCCCTGAAAAATTTTGGAGGAGCATATAGTTGCCGGGTTGTCCGTCCATCCGTATGTACGTCCCGAATTTTTGTGTCCGGCCCATAACTTTGTTATTTAAAGTCGGATTTTTACAACTATTTCACAGAAATGATACCATATTGAGACGATGTGTCAGGCGCAACATTTGGGTTGCTACCTTAAAGGTCAAGGTCACAACATTACCTTGCAGCAAAATCGTGTCCAGCCCATGACTTTGTTATTTGAAGTGGGATTTTACAACTATTTCTCAGAAAAGATCATCATATTGAGACGACGTGTCGCGAGCAACATTTGGGTCGCTACCTTGAAGGTCAAGGTCACAGCATGATCTTGCAGCAAAATTGTGTCCAGCCCATGACTTTGTTATTTGAAGTCAGATTTTACAACTATTTCACAGAAATGATCACCATATTGAGATGATGTGTCGCGCGCAACATTTTGGTCGCTATCTTGAAGGTCAAGGTCACAGCATAACCTTGCAGTAAAATCGTGTTCGGCCCATAACTTTGTCATTTGAAGTTGGATTTTACAACTATTTCACAGAAATGAATCACCATATTGAGACAACGCAAGTCGGTTGATAGATCTCATTGAGTAGAAGTGCAGTGCAAAGAACAGTATTTCTGCCTTGCTTAGGTTTGGGATTATCACACTTGAACTTTGTCTGGGACATAACTCTGAAACTACAAAAGATATACATGTACTTTTCCATGTCCAAAACCTAGTTTGGGAGCATCACCCGTTCAACTGGCTCTTGTTTGTGACAAGTACAAGTTATGTTGTACCCAATATTTTTTTGAAATAATTATGTGATGTTTTGCAAATTGTGTTGTGATAGATTAACGATGAATTGCTTCAAAAATTCGATGGAATAATTTAAAAGTTGGAATAATTTGCAATTTCAAGCAATTAGATATTTAAAAGCTATTTTCTACAATTCCACTAGTCCGCCATTACTATTTTGTCCACAAAGATACAAACAATGTCTTGGGCAGAAGTATGATATTTTGATGCTGCATGGAAAAGTTGTGATTAATGCTTTATCACAGTGTAAAAGTACGATAGTTTTATCCAGTCAACAATTCTGTCCTCCATGAATTGATTTTAATCATTTTGAAATAAAAAGGCATACTTCTGTGACAAAATAGAACACATGTCACATTAAGGCCAAGTTGACAGTTTGGAACATGATGAAAATACAAGGTCAAAATACAACATATGTGATTATGTCTAGTCAATTTTTTTATTCATTCACAGATTTTTAAAATCTTTAATTTGGATAACTGAGAATATAAAGAAAATATTTGTTAATGTTTCTGTACAATTGAAACACTTTTTTTCTTTATAGTAATCATGCCTTTAATGCAAGTCAATTCATAGTTCCTTTACCTGCTTTTGGAGCATTTGTCTGTATCCAAAGATACAGTGTCAATCATATCAAAATTATCCAGCATTAAAGTGTCCATTATTCCTTGCTGCTTTTGTTTACCTTTTAATGTTGATGGGGTGATTTTAGGACATGGGAGCTATTTTCAGACTTCACTGGGTGATAAATGTTGGCTATGTAGCTGGAGGATGATCATGTAGTTGATAGACGGCTGCTGATATAGGGAAAAATACCTTGATACCAAGGCATATGATGATATGCATGGAAGATTTGTTTACATTATTCAGGGATTTTTTTTGGCTTATTTTATAGCCGTTATTGGGTCATATTCCCAATTGAAAATAGTATATTATTTTCCCAATCCACAGGAAAAAAATTCCCAATTGAAAGTTACAAAATAAAAATATTGAATAAAAATTCTAAAATCTTTGAAAATCAGGGCTGTTTCACTGTAATAGTGCTTAAAATGTTTGAAGATGCCATCCTAGACAGTTATTGTTTGCATCCATTTAATCAATGTAAAATTTCAGTCATGCATTTTTCCCAATTCTTAACAAAACACCGCTAAAATTCCCAATTCCATAGATATGGGTCATGTTCCCAAAATCCTTAAAAAAATCCCTGATTATTTATTAATTGGGAGTTTTCTGACATTGTTGATTTAGTAATAATATCCTGATCTAAAGTTAGAAGGTGCATATAAATTTTACAAACTATATATTTATGTGGGGAGTTATTTTAATGTGTATAATTAACTGAATTTCTTTATTACAGGGTCCAATGTGCAAGTATTAGCCCATCAGTCATCAACAAGTACACCTTTAATTGCTTTAAGTCAGCTCAGCTTGGTGAGACATGGATCATTTTTCAACAGAAGTAGGTGTTCTTCCATCAGGTTGTTATTAATCCCCTTCGGCATAGCATAACCTTTAAACCGCTTAAAATTTTTGAAATAAATTGGCCCAAGTGATCAACATTATGAGACGATGTGCAGAGCACAATAATTGGGTTGTACCCGCAAGGTCAGTCACATTTTAAGGTCAAGTGTTTAAAAGTACATTTTGTTACTGCTTCATAACTTTTAAACCGTTGAAATCTTTTTGAAATAATTTGGCACAAGTGATCACCATCAGAGACAATATGCAGAGCACAATAATTGGGTAGCTACTGCCAAGGTCATTGTCACACGTAAAGGTCAAATGTTAAAAAGCGTGTCCGCACCATAACTTTAAAAGCGCTGAATTTTTTTTAAAAATAACTTAGCAAGTGAATCCCCATTATGAGACAATGTGCAGAGGGTAATAATTGGGTTGCTACCCCCAATGTCAATGTCACACTTTAAGGTCAAGTGCTAAAAAATCTACATATTGTTACAGCTCCATAACTATCCAAGAAATATTGTCGAAGATTGTTAATGCAGAACTGGCATTATTGCATTAAATTTACAGTAAAATCTTGTTGAAGAAGACAAATTATTGTGTAGATCACATGCTTTATAATAGCGTCAGATTATTTAGTATGGAACATTGTCTAGTGGACATCCATAAATTGTATGAATAACTGTTATCTGCATGGATTTACCAACCTTTAAGGCTTTTTATGTTAGGGGTCCATTGAACACGGGATCTATAAAAACAGGGGTCCACCACAAAATTTTGGGGGTCCACTCCAAGACAATTTTCGAAAACAGAAGAAGTACAGTAAGATTGCAAAATAAATGACTGTATTGTAAACAACAAAAATTTTTTTTAGATTTATTTCTCAGACAAAAAGGAAAAATTACTTGACAAGAAACAATCATTCGTCCCGTAGCTCTAATCACTTGTATCTATCTAAAAAGACAGACCGGAATGTTGTGTCACGTTTCTGTTTTGCCATCGTTAAAACTGAAAGTACTTTTATAGATAACGGTAACAACATAGTGCTGCGACTGATAATAATATTTGGGACAAGTAATGATTGGTCTGTATTTATACACCCGTAACTAAGTAACTAAGTTTGGGGGGGTATATAGGAGTCACTTGGTGGTTGGTCGGTTGGTTGGTCCAGCCGTCCGTTGCATTTTCCGTGTCAGGAGCATAAGTTGAAGACTAATGGTTGGAATTCAATACAACTTCATACAATGGTCAAGCACATTGAAAGAAGTGCAGTACACAAGAACCATAACTCCATCTTCACTAATTACACAGTTATTGCCCTTTGTTACTTTTCCTTGTCCGGAGAATAACTTGAAAACTACTGGTTGGAATTCAAAACAACTTCATACAATGGCCAAACACAATAAGGGGAAGTGCAGTGCACAAGAACCATAACTCTATCTTAAGTAATTACAGAGTAATTGCCCATTGTTACTTTTCCATTTTATTTATTTGTCTGAACCATAATACTTGAAGACTACTAGTTGGAATTCAATATAACTTCATACAATGGTCAAGCACATTGAGAGGAAGTGCAGTGCACAAGAACAATAACTCCATCTTGACTAATAACAGAGTTATTGCTCTTTGATACTTTTCCTTTTCTGGAGCATAACTTGAAAACTACAAGTTGGAATTCAATACAACTTCATACAATCGTCAATCACATTAACAGGAATTGCAGTGCACAAGAACAATAACACCATTTTGACAAATTACAAAGTTATTGCCCTTTGTACTTTTCCTTGTCTGGAGCATAACTTGTAAAGTACTGGATGGAATTCAAAACAACTTCATACAATGGTCAAGCACAATAAGAGGAAGTGCAGTGCACAAGAACCATAACTCTATTCAAAGTAATTATAGAGTGATTGCCCTTTGTTATCCCCCGCCGTAAAATTTTGGCGGAGGATATAGAAATAGTCTCCATCCGTCCGTCCGACCTTCCGTCCTTCCGTCCGTCCTTCCGTCCAACATTTTTGTCCGGAGCATATCTCTAAAAGTATTTGAGTTATCAACTTGAAACTTCATAGGTGGATAGACCTCATTGAGGAGGAGTGCAGTGCACAAGAATGATAACTCTACCTTGCATGATTTTTGAGTTATTGCCCTTTGTTATTTTTCAAAATTGATTTTTGTCCAGAGCATAACTCCAAAAGCCTATGAGATATTAACATGAAACTTCATAGGTGCATAGATCTCACTCAGGAGGTGTGCAGTGCACAAGAATGATAACTCTACCTTTCATAATTTTTGAGTTATTGCCCTTTGTTATTTTTCATACCTAATTTTTCACCTGAGTGGAGCATAACTCAAAAAGTGTTTGAGATATCAACATGAAATGTCATAGGTGGATAGATCTTATTGAGGAGGAATGTTGTGCGCAAGAATGACAACTCTTCCCTATACAATTTTTGAGTTATTGCCCTTTTTTTTTCATGCTATTTTGTCCAGAGCTTATCTCAAAAAGTATTTGAGGTATCAACTTTAAACTTCAAAGGTGGATGGATCTCATTGAGGAGAAGTGCAGTGCTTAAGAATGATAACTCTACCCTGCATTATTTTTGAGTTATTGCCCTTTGTTATTTTTCAAAATTAATTTTTGTCCAGAGCATAACTCAAAAAGCCTTTGAGATATCAAAATGAAACTTCATAGGTGCATAGATCTCTGACTCAGGAGGTGTGCACTGCACAAGAATGATAACTCTACCTTTTTAATTTTTGAGTTATTGCCCTTTGTTCTTTTTCATACTTTAATTTTTTCTCAAAAAGTATTTGAGGTATCAACTTGAAACTTCATAGGTGGATAGATTTTACTGAGGAGGGATGCAGCACACAATAATGATAACCTACCCTGCATTATTTTTCAGTAATTGCCCTTTGTTATTTTCAGCTATCAGTATTCACATAGGTTTCAAATCTGTAATCACTATAGCCATCAGTTTTCATTACCAAAAGACCTCTTAAAATAGAATTATTCCGCTCTACTACATATACATTCTTCCAATGAGCAAACACATTCGGCGGGGGATGGCCATGTTGACATGGCTCTTGTTACTTTTCTATTGCTTTTTTTTTTTGCAGAGCATAACTTGAAATTTACCAGGTGGAATTCAATACAATTTCATACAATGGTCAAGTATATTGAGAGAAAGTGCAGTGCACAGAAACCATAACTTTTTTTGGACTCATTTAATAGTTTTTGCCCTTTGTTACTTTTTATTGTCCAGTGCAGAACTTGAAAATTAATGGTTGGAATTCAAAGAAACTTCAAACAATAGTCAAGGGCAGTGAAATGAAGTGCAGTGCAGAAGAACCATAACTCTATTTGGACTAATTACAGTTATTGCCCTTTGTTACTTTTTTTGTCCAGTGCTTAACTTGAAAACTAGTTTTTAGAATTCAATACAACTCCATACAATGGTCAAGTGCAATGAGAGGAAGTGCAGTGTTCAATAACCATAATTCCATCTTTAGTAATTGTAGAGTTATTGCTCTTAAGACTTTGTTCCTTTTCCTTGTCAGATGCATAACTTAATCAAAGGGCTGCAAGCTCTGTGGTATTTTCTGATCTTTGCAATCTAAATCGTACTGTATATCTGTATGTATTTTCCTGTATAAGTTTATTTTAATGTACTAAAATACATCTTGCAAAGCACCAGAGTTTGATACATACGAAATTTTGCATAACTACAGTAGAGTTGCATCAAAAAATCATTTATGTTCATTTTTTATGAAAGCCACACTTTATCCTTGCATATCGTGGCTACTTCCTTAAAAAGACAGTTAAAAAAAAAATTAAAAACAAAAAGTTGCCTCGACTGAGATTTGAACTCCAGACCTCACACACTAGACAAGCGCGTTACCCCTGCACCACGTGGAAGTTATATAAACTATGTTTGAATATAATCTAGTCATTCTAAATTTAGAACATCCGATGCATTCCGGGTTTGTAATCCTTATTAATTTCGAGGTATTTTGTTCAGGATAAACCTGTTGTTTAAAATTGAAGTAAATAATGTAGCGAAAATCTTCTTGCCCAAACAGTCCGACATGTAGAATCTATATATTCCACTACTCGGCAGTCAGATTTATTTGTGTAGTATTCAGAAATCAACATTGCTAAAAATAGCATTTTCATTGATTAAAATCAAATTCATCCGCGTAATTTGTGATTGTGCATTTATTGACAATTCTATAAGACAACGCTACTTTTAAACTTTGACCAGGGGCGTTTAATAGGAATTTTACGGTAGATATCTTAAAAATACAGAAAGGAGTGTTACTCTTAACGGTTTTTGTGTGGTCACGATACTAAGTATTTATTTTAAAATATGGAAATGACAGTTACACAGTCATGTACTTTGGACAATTTTTCTGCGTCCATGTGTATGGGGAATTTATTTTTAGCTCACCTGTCACAAAGTGACAGGGTGAGCTTTTGTGATCGCTTTTCGTCCGGCGTCAGTCCATCCGTCGTCCGTCCGTCGTCCGTCCGTAAACTTTTACTTTAAATGACATCTCCTCATAAACCACTAAGCCAATTTCATCCAAACTTCACAGGAATGTTCCTTTGGTGGTCACCTTTAAAAATTGTTCAAAGAATTTAATTCCATGCAGAACTCTGGTTGCCATGGCAACCGAAAGAAAAAACTTTAAATATCTTCTTTTAAAAAACCATAAGAGCTAGAGCTTAGATATTTGGCATGAAACATCTTCTAGTGAGTGTCTACCACGTTTGTTCAAATAAGAACCCTGGGGTCAAAATTGGCCCCGCCCCGGGGGGTCATTGATTTTCCCTATATGCATATAGTAAAAACTTAGAAATCTTCTTTTAAAGAACTCAAAGAGCTAGAGCTAAGATATTTAGCATGAAACATGTTCTAATAAGTGTCTACCAAGTTTGTTCAAATAAAAGCCCTGGGGTCAAAATTGGCCCCGCCCTAGGGGGTCATTGATTTTCTCTATATGCATATAGTAAAAACTTAAAAAATCTTCTTTTAAAGAACCAAAAAAGTTAGAGCTAAGATATTTAGCATGAAACATGTTCTAATAAGTGTCTACCAAGTTTGTTCAAATAAAAGCCCTGGGGTCAAAATTGGCCCCGCCCCGGGGGGTCATTGATTTTCCCTATATGCATATAGTAAAAACTTAAAAAAATCTTCTTTTAAAGAACTCAAAGAGCTATGGCTAAGATATTTAGCATCAAACATGTTCTAATAGGTGTCTACCAAGTTTGTTCAAATGAAAGCCCTGGGGTCAAAATTGGCACCGCCCCCAAATATAAGCCCTGGGGTCAAAATTGGCACCGCAAATCTTCTTTGAAAAAACGCAAATAGCTAGAGTTAAGATATTAAGCATGAAACATCTTTTAGTGAGTGTCTACAAAATTTGTTCAAATAAAAGACCTGGGGTCAAAATTGGCCCCGCCCGGGGGGTCATTGATTTTCTTTGTATGTGTATAGCAAAAACTTAAAATCTTCTTTGAAAAAACCCAAATAGCTAGGGTTTAGATATTAAGCATGAAACATCTTCTAGTAAGTGTCTACAAAGTTTGTTCAAATAAAAGCCTTGGGGTCAAAACTGGCCCGGCCCCAGGGGTGTCATTGTTTTTAACTATATGTGTGTAGTAAAAACTTTAAAAAAATCTTCTTTTAAAAAGCCCAATGAGCTAGAGCTTAGATGTTTAGCATGAAACATCTTCTTATGGGTGTCTACCAAGTTTGTGCAAATAAAAGCCCTTGGGTTAAACTGGCCCTGCAACGTTGGGGGGGGGTGTGGGGTTGGGGGGGGGGGTGCTATATACAGGTGAGCGACCTCAGGGCCATCATGGCCCTCTTGTTTGTGCGTACAGGATGGCATTTTATGCATAAATGACGGATGCAGAATCCTGCGTCCGGTAAATCCCTGTTTCTGGCTTCTTTTTAAAATGCTGTTAAATTGTTCCAATTTTTGAAAACACTTGATACAAAACATTTCCATCCTATTTGGCAGATCTAGATCTTTTTCTAAGTAATGACATAGAATTTAAATGTTGAATTATATCATTAACACTCTGTGTCTATGTTACTGATTACTTTGCTGTGACATGATTTACTTTTTGCTTTTAATTTTTCAGAGGATTCCACTCAAATGTGGGATAGTGCAACTGGTGTAAGTAATGCAGGACGGAAAAGAGGACGTGCTAGCCGTGGAAAAATTATGCAGAGAGTGAATTTGAATATTGGAAAGAAAATGGGAATAGGTATCAACAAATCAGAATTTGAAGACTTTAATAAATGTTAAACCTCATGGTTTATAAGAAATCAAAGTGCAACAATTTTTAGCTCACCTGTCACAAAATGACACGGTGAGCTTTGGTGATCACTTTACGTCTGTCGTCCGTCTGTGGCCCGCCCATCCGTCAGCCGTCCGTCCGCTGTCTGTCCGTAAACTTTTACTTTAAACGCATCTCCTCATAAACCACTAAGCAATTTCATCCAAACTTCACAGGAATGGTCACCTTTAAAAATTGTTCAAAGAATTTAATTCCATGCAGAACTCTGGTAACCATAGCAACGGATAGAAAAAACTTAAAATATCTTCTTTTAAAAAACCCAAAGAGGTAGAGCCTAGATATTTGGCACGAAACATCTTCTAGTGAGTGCCTATCAAGTTTGTTCAAATAAAAGCCCTGGGGTAAAAATTGGCCCCGCCCCAGGTCATTGCTTTTCCTTTCATGTTTAATTATAAACCTTAAAAAATCTTCTTTTAGAAAACTGAAAGAGCTAGAGCTTATATATTTGGCATGAAAGGGGATGTGCCCTCTTTTGTTTGGGGGTTTGAAGGGGGGCAGCAGTCCCCCTCATCGCCAAGAAAATTTTGGACATGTGACAGGCTAAAAATGGCCTCAGGTCGATTTTAGGGTAACTAGTAACTGATGCTGAAAAGCATTTTACTCTATCTCAATTCATTGAGAAGTTGCAGCACTTTGAAATCAGTTTTGATGGAAAAAAAACAATGCAAAACAGTATTTTTTGGCAATTTTGAGACGTCCTTCCTTTGCCATGCTAACAGGAAATTTACGATTGAGCATGCTGTTACAGTGGCTATTGTCTAGTCAACATTTGTGCCAAGTTTCATCAGTATTGAAGCATTTTTCATAGTTTCATAGCAATTTGAACTTGTTACAGTAGGCTTTTTAATGAAAACGGCCATTTTTTGCAATATGCTCATGGGATAAAAAGTTAAAAAAAAACCAAAGTGGTAGAGCTTTGATATTTCTCAACACATTGTTATGAAGATTTTTCTGTTAAAGCACTAGATAGATGAAAAGGTTGTTGAATGTGAATGATAATTCAAAACAGAGTCAATCAGAATAGCACAAATTTGAGAGCTACAGTGGAGTTGTTTTTCCAATTCAATAATGGATTCTTCCATTAATTTCGTAACACCATCAGAAAGGAGACTGTGTCATTTCTGAAATACAATGTAAAATAATTCGGTTCTTGACAAAGACTCGCACATTTTATTGTGTAAGATAGTTCACAAAGAAACAAAAGTGAACAAAAAATGTGTTATTTTTTTCCACAAAAATTAGCTGATTAAGATAGGGCCATCCTTAATAATATATATATGTTTGCTATTGCCGACCCAGAGTTTATAAGAAGTGGATCGGTAGGTAGGCTTTTTTTTTTATGTATGATTTTTACGGAACGTAAGTTAATACGCTTAGTACGTTGTAGCAGATTGTGGAAATTTGGACTACACTTTCATCATCGGCGACGACGACAAAACTGACATAAACAATCAAAAACATGTTCACTAGTAATCATAACATGAAATAAAAAAATGACTATGTGGACATAAATTCAAGCATGATCAAATTACTGATGTGATAAACTAATCCTGCATAAATATTCCGGTACGACCTGGAAAAATTATAGTGGATCACCGGTACATTTCATTCTCTCGGTAGATCATTTCTCAATTTATTACATGTCTGTAAAAAATAACACATGCAAGATTTGTCTCCATTTAATTTCTGAATGGCGGATATTTGCACCCCTGTTTTAAAACTGTTAAAATATTTAATTGTTAGTAACCGAAAATTATCACCGATTGTTGAAATTCCATAGCGCTAAAAGACACAAAAACACTCAGGCAAAAAGTAGCATCCATAAATAAAAGGAATATAATGTTTCCATTGTTGAATAAAAAATACAAAATTTACACACGAAATGACCTGACAAATGACTGGTCGGCTCTTCTGAAGAATCTGTGAATCTTTGATGTTAACACACCTGTAGTTGTTGCCGAATCATCAAAGAAATGCCGACACTCAATTGACTTCCACCTCTTTTTTATATATCAGAAAAAAAACTCATTTCTTTTTGTCAATGAATGATTACACATGTTTAATTATTGCTCAAGTATAAAAAAAAATGTTGAATATTTATTGTGTCAATTATTGACATATTATTAATCGTAAGTGCATTTTGACATGGAGTTTAATGAGACGTATGTATACCTGTGATTTTGATTGTGATATTTTATTTACATTTTTATGATCTTGAAGATATTGTGCAATACTTGTGTCTGCTATCAAAACAATAATGCATATGAAAGGACCACAGCTTCCAAAAATTTATTTTTTGGGTCAATTTTATGACAGAATCCCCGCTGCTACCAGAAATGTTTTATTGCATGGGCTAAGTATTTAATCTGTGTTGGCAGTCATAAACAAACGAACATGTACCCCAAAGCACATTAAAATTACCACATGGTAAACTAGTGACCATATAAATGCTTTACCAATATTCATTAATTGAATAAACATTATTTTTTATTCCGTTTCCACACCTTAATTTGATACATTCTATTATTAGTTAATTCAACTTAATTGCCGCGCACATGCAGTACTGTGTTACGTAAGGAAAATATCCTTCCGTGGTTTGTGGCTATTTATGTAAATAATTTAAATACTAACACCCTAATTTTATGCACAGAATGCCCTCATGAATGATCATTCATTACTTTACATATTAAATGTGTGATTTTTCCTCCGATATAATTTTTGTTTTCGAGGGAATTTTTTGGGTCGAATGCTGATTTGGCAGAAATAAAAAAAAAATCTGATTTTTTTTAAGCTGAGAAAAACCTTTTTAGTCGGGGCATTTTTGCAAGGTCGGCCGGCAATAGCAAACAGATAACTTTTTAAGAGCGGCCTTGGTTTTTTTTTTTAACAATTTGTCTGTTCTAGGGTATATTTTTTATGAGGTTTATAACCTTTTCATCATCAATCAACTGGGATTTTAAAATAACTTGGCACAAATGTTAGCAATAATAAAACAACATGTCATGGGCAACCAGGGCTCGAATTTAACTTTTTTGGCCACTAGCAATTTTTTGCTAGTGGACAAATTTTTAACTTGCAAAAACTGAATTCAACTAGCACTTTTTATGACAATGATTTTTTAATTCCAAAATTGTTTAAACTTTTATGTACATTCATTAATTGTTTAAATTATCATGTACCATAATAATTATTCATTGTTGTTACAATTATGTATCATAATAATGAATTTTATTGGGCATGAAAAAAATTATAATACTTCAATTTTAAGTTTAATGATGTGCTGAAAGACAAAGTTGTTGCTTGATATAGAGAATAACAAAATTAAAATTGTAATTTATTTGGACAAGTTCGAACTGCCCGGGGTACGAATCAGCAACGTAACTTTCTACTCAAAAACTTGATTTAGGGGACAGGGATTCTTATCAAATGTCAATCTACATGTAAAAAAATAATAATGCAATATTGTCGCCATACCGACGATGTCTGGTTCTTTCTTCCATTTTTTAACTGTTTTAACTGAAGGTCTGATTGTCTTTCTTTTGATAGACTGTGAATCATCTTCTGTACTCAGAGTATGTTATCGGAAGACACATTTGCTTCAGTAAGTGGGAAGATTTAGTTCGTTATTTTTCGTTTAGACATTTTATTTCGATCACGCTTGATTTACACGGACAAAATGACATTTGGACTGGTTTAAATTTGTGTACTTTTTTAAGCGAGATTAAGGTATAGAAAATGTAAACCAGACAGCAAGTGCGCGCATAGTTTATAACTCGGCTACCTGTGAATATTACGCCCCATTTATATTTGGATTTTCCTGTCGAGTGTATTCTGTTTTTTCTTCAACTCGCAAAAAATTGCTAGTAGTCATAAATCTAACTCTCAAAATCTTTTTTCAACTAGCATTTTGCGAGTTTGTGAGTGTTAAATTCGAGCCTTGGCAACACCTCAAAGGTCAGGGTCACACTTGTCAAAGTGAATTACCCACATACCCAAACATGAAATATACCTTGTAACAGATCATATCCTTTATTAGTCCCCTACCGGTTTACCAGAGGGGACTTTAGGTTTACCGTCTGTCTGTCTGTCAGTCCGTCCATCTACAAACTGGATCCCGCGATAACTTGAAAAGTACTGGAAATATTTTTATGAAACTTAAAATATGGGTAGATGGCAGTCTGTCTGTCCTTCTGTCCGTCCGCTCTACCGAATAAGGATAGGGGGCCATCTAACTGTAAACAGAACAAAAGAGAACAATAAAGTTCATTCTGTAACAATAGAGTAAGGGGCCATTGGCCCTCTATTATACAATAGTAAATAACAAAAGAAATGGCCCCTTATTTCATTTCGGCCTGACATCCGGTTGTCCATCCGTCCGCATTTAGCTGATGTCGGCCCTTCACAGGTAAAACTACTGATTGAATCTTTACAGGAGTGATCAGTACCATTCCTAGTTGTGCACATCACCAGCACGTTCCGCTTCACAGCTTAAAATGGCCACCAGAGCTAAAAAAAAAAAAAATCTTGTGCGGCCTTCACAGGTCAAACTACTGGTGGGATTTCAACCAAACTTTACAATAGTGATCAGTACCATCCCTAGTTATGCACATCACTGGCATGTTCTGCTTCGCTGCACATGATGGCAACCAGAGCTTAAAATAGAAAATCTTGTCCTGCCTCCATTATGCCCATCCAAGAGTACATATTGATTGAAAATCTTAGCATAATGTCACTGTAATTGTTCCTTTTGATCTAGAGCCCTAATAACCAGTTGAGCAATATAAGGGATCTTGTTGTCACTTGTGAAAAAGTTGGCAGGATATTTCAATAAGCTAATGAATTGTTTAGAAAAGGTTTGCAAGCATGTGTCAATATATTTTAGGTGCCAGTGGGTATGTGTTTCCTGGTTTGTCAACTCATATTTCTGGAAAAGAAAATGTTGGTGATCTAGGTGTGCGTATAGCTGATAAGCAAGAGGACATTACAGATTCTGGAAGTAAATTTCAAAGGAAAAAAACATCTGGAAAACTAGATCCCTTAGATAGAGGTTTCAGTGGAACAAAATTACCAGGAAAAAAAATTGAACCACCTGACCCAGTTGATGGCTGTAAGTTATTTGTTTGTAATATGTAAGCTTCAAAACTGCTTGGCTGCATATAAGAAAAAAATCAAATTTTCAAAAAATGAATCTTGAAAAATATGAGAAATTTATTGTTAGTTAATGTTCCCTGCAAATATAACAGTTACAATTTTTAGCTCGACTATACGAAGTATATGGAGAGCTGTCCTACTCGCCCCGGCGTCGGCGTCCGCGTCCAGATTTTAGATTAAAGTTTTGGTGCAGTAAAATATTTTTCACTATAACTTTGTCATTTCTTAAGGTATCAACTTCAAACTTCAAATATATGTTCCTTATCATCAACCACATCTTATGTGACAAGGTTCATAACTCTAGCACCAATATTTTCAGATTTATCTCCCCTTGAACTTAGAATTTTCCTCAAAAAATACTATTTCTTACTATTTCTTCTTTATTTCTTAAGGGATCAACCTCATACTTCAAATATATTTATGTTATCATCATCCACATCTTATGTGACAAGGTTCATAACTCTAGCACCAATATTTTCAGATTTATCTCCCTTTGAACTTAGAATTTTCCATAAAAAATATTATTTTTTACTGTTACTTCTTTATTTCTTAAGGGATCAACCTCATACTTCAAATATATGTACCTTATCATCATCCCCATCTTATGTGACAAGGTTCATAACTCTAGCAACAATATTTTCAGATTTATCTCCCTTTGAACTTAGAATTTGACATAAAAAATATTATTTTTTACTGTTACTTATTTATTCCTAAAGGGATCAACTTCATACTTCAAATATATTTACGTTATTATCATCCACATCTTATGTGACAAGGTTCATAACTCTAGCACCAATATTGCAAGAATTATCTCCCCATAAACTTAGATTTTTTTACTAGAAAAATGTTATTTATTATTATAACTTTTTTATTTTTAAAGGTATCTACCTCAAACTTCAAATACTTATTCCTTATCATCAATTACATTTTATGTGACAATGTTCATAACTCTTGAAGCAATATTTACAGATTTATCTCTCTTTGAACTTAGGATTTTCTTTAAGAAATATAATAACTTCTTTATTTGTTAAGGTATCTACTTCAAACTTCAAATATATATTTCTAATCATTACACAAATGTTGTGTGACAAGGTCCATAACTCTAGCATGACTATTTCTAGAATTATTCCCCTTGATCTTGGAATTTATGTTAACAAATGTTATTTTTTTACTATAACTTAATACATAATTATACATAATTGATTTTTCTTTCATAGTTTTGTCCTCCTTACTGCGTCCAGTATTTTATTAGTCGAGCTTCGCTGTCTCCTGTGACAGCTCTTGTTTTTACCCTGCTTAAGGGTGCATTGATTCTCAAAAGTAGAAAATATATCAAAATGCACTGCTTTGAAACCATAATCTGATTTTTATTTTTATGCCCCCTTCACAGAAGGGATGGGATATGACTATGCTGTCTGTCTGTTGGTTCCCTATTGATTTGGCCAGGGTGGGTGGGGGAGTGCATAAGTGTTTCACAAACATTTTTGTTTGGTTAGGTTATCATTTCATTAACAGCGTTTCATGTAAACAGAAACAAAAACAGTCAACAAAAAGTTTTAAATTTATTTTAAATGTTTTGTAACTTCCCAGCCTTTTAATAGCATGTATGAGTTAATTCATCAAAATCAGGTGATGAAAATTTCCAATCTCAGTATAATGTAGATTTTTAAATTGAATATTCAATAATGGAGAAGGTTTAAGTTGAAATGGAATTAAAAGGTACGTAGGTAGATGTTACAGCTCAAACATGAATCTATTTATATGACTAATGCAAACCAAGTTATACTGGGACATCTGTGCTGCCTGATGATGGCCTGCATAGTTCACTAATCAGGCAGTTCTTACGAATTTTCCCTTGAAATGGTCATGTCCATATTAACAGAAAAATGATACGGGTAAAATCACCATATTTCTACCTTGTTGCTAGTGGAGCAAGTGCTTATTCTGCAAATTGTAATTTCACTTGAGAGTAAGTGATTGGTTAAAGCATTTTATATAAATGCTAGGTTTAAGAACTTTATTAAATACAGTCCGACCCCGGTTATTCGACAACCCATTATTCGAATACCCGGCATTATCCGAAGTTGATCTACGGTCCCGTTTTCATCTCTATATAAACTAATATAAATACCAACGTATTTTTCGAAATGCATTATCCGAATACCTCCTATTTTTCGAAGCAAAATTTCGGTCCCGATTATATCATTATATAAGAATTTCACACCTATTATTCGAAGCCAGACTAATTGGCACTGATTGACTCGCTGACCGTCCCGACTTGTGAAAAACGTTGCGGAAAAACTTCTAACAATGGTTCGTGTATTTAGTTAATCGTGATAATAACGATTTGCGTGTACATTTTCAACTTTAATTACCGAACATTAATTGTACGCTTTTAATTGGACGGTTAAAAGTGTTCAAAATGATTATTATACCCCCGCACAACAAAGTTGTAAGGGGGGTATACTGGAATCAGCTTGTCCGGCCGTCCGGCAGTCCGTCGGTTTTTTCTTGTCCGCCCAATAACTTAAGATATCTTTGACCCTTAGTCTTCATATTTGGCATGGAGATTAGTCATGATTAGTAGATGACCCCTATTTATTTTGAGGTCACTAGGTCAAAGGTCAAGGTCACAGGGGCCTTGACTTCAAAAAGCTTGTCCGCCCAATAACTTAAGATTCCTTTGACCTACAGTCGTCATATTTGGCATGGAGGTTAGTCATGATTAGTAGATGACCCCTATTGATTTTGAGGTCACCAGGTCAAAGGTCAAGGTCACAGGGGTCTTGACTTCAAAAAGCTTGTCCGCCCAATAACTTAAGATTCCTTTGACCTACAGTCGTCATATTTGGCATGGAGGTTAGTCATGATTAGTAGATGACCCCTATTGATTTTGAGGTCACCAGGTCAAAGGTCAAGGTCACAGGGGCCTTGACTTCAAAAAGCTTGTCCGCCCAATAACTTAAGATTCCTATGACCCATAGTCTTCATATTTGGCATGGAGGTTAGTCATGATTAGTAGATGACCCCTATTGATTTTGAGGTCACCAGGTCAAAGGTCAAGGTCACAGGGGCCTTGACTTCAAAAAGCTTGTCCGCCCAATAACTTAAGATTCCTTTGACCCATAGTCTTCATATTTGGCATGGAGGTTAGTCATGATTTGTTGATGACCCCTATTTATTTTGAGGTCATCAGGTCAAAGGTCAAGGTCACAGGGGCCTTGACTTCAAAAAGCTTGTCCGCCCAATAACTTAAGATTCCTTTGACCCATAGTCTTCATATTTGACATGGAGGTTAGTCATGATTAGTAGATGACCCCTATTGAGTTTGAGGTCACCAGGTCAAAGGTCAAGGTCACAGGGGCCTTGACTTCAAAAAGCTTGTCCGCCCTATAACTTAAGATTCCTTTGACCCACAGTCTTCATGTTTGGCATGGAGGTTAGTCATGATTAGTAGATGACCCCTATTAATTTTGAGGTCACCAGGTCAAAGGTCAAGGTCACAGGGACTTTGACTTCAAAAAGTTTATCTGCCCAATAACTTTTGATTCCTTTGACCCACAGTCTTCATATTTGGCATGGATGTTGATCATGATAAGTAGATGACCCCTTGTGATTTTGAGGTCACTGGATCAAAGGTCAAGGTCATAGGGACTTTGACTTCAAAAAGTTTGTCCACCCATTTACTTAAGATTCCTTTGACCCACAGTCTTCATATTTGGCATGGATGTTGATCATGACTATAAGGTGACCCCTATTTACTTTAAGGTCACTGGGTCAAAGGTCAAGGTCACAGGGACCTTGACAATAAAAAGCTTTTCTTCTCAATTGCTAAAGAATGTCCTGTCAGCAATGTATTGATTTTGACATTTTCACATTTGAAGCTTGTAGAATACATAACTTAGCAATGCACTGGCTTAGTAACCTCAGATTTGGCAGGGAGGTTGTCCTTGAGCTCTAAATGGCCACTGTTGATTCTGACAAAGTGGTATGCGGGGGTATTCACGCCAAGATAGTGGCAGTTCTAGTTTTAATTAGTGAATGAAACTAAACAAATGAAAATAAACTGTGATATTAATTGGACGGTTAAATCTGTTCAAATTAAGATTTTAATTAAAGAATGGATTGAAAAAATAAACAAATAAAAACAAACAACTAGCGAACTGTGTCATGTTTTTCTTTATAAATGTGAATTCCCAGTTTCTATTTCAAGTCAGTGCAAAATGTCTACGTTAGCACAAGATATTCTGGCTGAGCAATTGTGGATGTTTAATATTACCGAAATGTGACTGTGAAAATTACATTTAGAAGTGAAAAATAATATGACTTTTCAAGTTGCTTGTTTATATTTTGACGAAGATAAAATATTAATATTACTTGTATAATGTTGAATACATTTGTAATGCATTGTATATCTATGATTTAAATCCTGCGCCGTGCCCGATGTTTTTTTTCTCTCATACGGAAGATGACAGCGATATTTTTAATGTTCATGCATGTTTATATTAACCTATACGCTATATGTGCTACAGAATCTGGAAATAAAATGCAAGTAGTTATGTTTAAGTTAACAATAAAAATATTTTAAACATTTATCATTGTTTATTTGTTTTTCTCAATTGATTACCGGTAACAGATGAGTTGTAAACATTTAATTCCGCTAGAATTTGCGATATGGTCAAGTGGTGTAGTTTTTGTCTGTCACTATGTTCGGATTTGGATTATTCGAACCCATCGATTTTTCGAAGTAAATTTTCAGTCCCGGGAACTTCGAATAATCGAGGTTGGACTGTACGTGAAAGTTTTATAAGCTCGACTTTTTTTTTTCAAAGAAAAAAAATTCAGGAATGTTACAGTCATGACAGCATTGCTATTGCTGTCCGCAGACTTAAACCTTGATCATTCTTGGTGTATTGTCTTCAAACTTGGTCACAACAACACTTGGGACAAGACTAG